TTAATGTGCCTCGACTTGACCATTTCTGTGCATTTTTAGCACTCAGAAAGATATGTTCTGTGCAATTGTTTTGATATAGAGAAACAACCTATAATTGTAGTTTCAACATTATTTATTCCTCAGACATTCCCCTTTAAATACAATAAATATAAGTTGTATACAAAGTGACCAACATTTGGTTTTCGACCACTGAAAATGGATATTATTCAACAATCTGGACATGGAGCCGCTTTGAGATCCCCATATCTCGGGGACTGAACAATACGGGGCCTTAAAAATGAAGATGCCAAAAGGAAAGTTTGTTAAGATCCAAAATCTAAAAGGACATTAAGATACTTTTAATACTTCTTGAGTTACAGCCATGCAAACTTTGGAGAATGAACTTAAAAAGTGCTTTTTCCCCATTTTTGAACTGTCACCATTGGCATATAATGCAACAAAGATTGATAAAATCAACAGATGTTATAAATAGACCTACCAATCTCTGTGTAAAAATAATATAACGATGCTGCCATTTTTCGAAGTCATTTTTAACCCCATGTGATTTGGCTCCAAATCTCAGGTGAAAATGATCATTTTGACCCTCCTATACAAAACAGTGCATTATTTAGTAAATATACGTCCATGATATTTAATATTTAGATTTTCCTCTTCATTTATGCATTTCTTTAACTAGAAAAAATATTACCAAAATCAAAATTTTGAGCCAAGTTGACACGTAATCACCCTATTCCATTCCAAACATAGAAACTATGAAACTGCAGTCATGTAATCACAAGTCACTCATGCAAACATGAATAACTGAGGTCAAGCAAAGGATGCGTTCCTCAATGGTGCTATGTGTTATCTTGGCAGAGTTCTTCATGCAGGATATTTCCTACAGTCTGAATCGAGTGAGGTCTCAGGAGCAGCTGCTGAAGTCGGTCCTGCTTTACTCTTTCGACCACAACCACATCGCCTCCTTCACGTCGCTCTGCTATCTCGACGTGAAAGAACAGAAGCCCTCGAAGGACCAGATGTGTTCTCCGCATCCCGGCACGCAGCAGTCGGTCCCTCTTCTCAGCTTCCACGTCCACACTGACAGAAGGGTCCTTCGCCGCTGGGTGGAGGTCGACGTGACCTCCTTCCTCCATCCTCTCATTCAAGCCCATAAGAAGGACATCCATCTGCTGATCAACCTGACCTGCATTGAAGACATGATCCCCAGACCCGGAGGCCAGGTTCACAAGAGCCCAGTGGAGTTAACTCCCAGATCTCCGTCTCTTCTCCTGTACCTTAATGACACCAGCGAGGTTGCGTACCAGAGAAGAGCCACACGAGGTAGGATGGTAGACCTGACATCAAACCACTGGGATAGAAAGTCCACTTTGTGGGATTCAACTTCACGAAAGAGACGAGGCACCCTAAAGAGCACCAGTTCGCCGGAAACCAGCGCGCCCAAACTCGTCCCCATGTACGACTTCCCCACAGACGACTGTGACCTGTATGATTTCAAAGTGAGCTTCAGTCAGCTCAAACTGGACCATTGGATCATAGCGCCTCACAGATACAACCCGAGGTACTGTAAGGGATCTTGTCCGAGGGCTGTGGG